TCCCCCTTCCTTCTATTTTCTTCCTTGAGGTAGAAGAAGCAACAATTGGGAGAGTGCTTAATAGAAGCTTTACTAATATTTGATTTGAATAGTGTGTATATCTGTATTACAGTTCTCGCCAATTCTTTGACCTGTTGCTTGAGTCCATTGTGAAGATGCTTCTTATATGCTTGATTTTTTTCCCTGCTATCTCTTTATATTGTTGATGTATCTCATGTAAATTAATTCTCTCTGTTGAAGGATTAACCTTGATGGACATCGACCTAGAGTACGGCGGTATGCACATGGTTTGAAGAAGCTGATAAGAATAGGACAAGGTGAGGAGGGAGGGAACTGTCGGTGGTACTCTCTTTCAATAGTTGCTGTATCTATGGGTGCATATGCTGCTTTTCAAGTGTAGATGATTTTTCTTTCCAACCAAATTAATCATTCTATCATAATGTTTAATCTTTTATTATTTTGCTTTATAAAAACTTGTTCTTTGACTGTTGTGTCAAATGTTGATGATGCTATCCCAATATTGTCAACCCACGAGGCCTTGATGTGTGAATCTGAACATTCAAAATGAAAATAAATTTGCCAAAATGTTCTCTAATGCATAGGTCCCGAGAACCTTTTGCGCCAAGCCTCAAGCTTAGGTGCCAATGGTGAATCAGATGTGTACTTTGAAGCTGATGGTGGAGATGTAATTGAAGCACATGAGTGGAAATGCGTTCGTACACTTGACGGTATGTTTTTTTATCTTCTTCAATAAAAAATAATATTTAAAATAAGCTATTGGATTAGAATTTAAAAAAATGGAGCTTAAATACAGAAACAAAGCTTGGAGAGGAAATTGGCTAACGTTCAGGAGATCATGCTAAAGGAAGATATTAGCTATCTTCCTGGCGCAGTATGTGCTTTTGGATATCTTATTCTTGATCAGTAGTATAAAAAGGGAAAGAGAAAATTTTGCTTTAGGATTTTAGTGATCTTTTTCAGGGTAGATCTTTACTTGAATTTTAGATCTATAAATTACCTTCTATGCATCTAAAATATTGCCTTCTTCAAATGTTGTAATTCGTTTTCTAATGTTGTTTCCCACCTTCTTTGTAGTGTAGGTGTTCGGATATTTGAAGATATGGCAAACAAAAAGGTATCTGCCATGTCACTAGATTTACTATCGCGATTGGGATGTCTAGACTGCTGTTTATTGGTGCATATTAAGAGATATGATAAATCTTTAAAAACTTCAACCAATCTTGTGAAGGTTACTCTTTAGTTGCTGTACTGATGTATGTGATCTTTTTTGTTTATTAAACTATAAAAAATATATTTCTGCATTAAATTATCTTAATCTCGTGAAGACCTTCAGGATCGAATAAACTGATCCAGTATATGCTCTATGACTTTTGTTTTCTAATTCCTTCGTCAGTGATTCTGATTTCTGATTAATATGACATCTTGCTTAGTATCAAGTTTGAGAAAGGGCAGAAGTCATTTTGATTGGCTAGTTACTGCAGCATAAGCAAACTGCTTCTGCTCTACAACAAAATTATAGTTACAAGTAGTAAAAGGAGACTAAGATGAATTTCCAGAAGCTAATGATTTAATACTCTTCTTTGATAAGATAGCTAATTGCTTGGTGCTATTGCTTTTCTTCTCGTCTTTCGTGAGCTGAGGGTCTATCGGAAACAACCTCTCTACCTTCAAGGCGGGGTAAGGTCTGCCTACACACTACCCTTCCCAGATCCCACTTGTGGGATTACACTAGGTTTATTGTTGTTGTTGATAAGGTAGCTAATGATTTAGTATCGGTGAAATGGAAGGTACATTACATATAAGTTTCTGTCCTTTTCTTTTGTCATCTATCTCTTCATATCTTTTTATGTGAAAAATTGCCAAGGCAAATTTTCAAGGATTCCACATTGTCTGGGTTTTATTTTATACAGTCAAAAACTTGTCTGACATGCTCATTTTCAAGGTCTTTCATATTATCCTGGTTTTATTTGTACAATCAAAAACTTATCTGGCATTGCTCTCTTCTCCTTTCCTGTAGACTGGTAAAGGAGTTCTTGTCAAGGCCATTGCTCTTGTCGAAGCTAGTGCAGATACTGTCTTTGACGTGCTCTTGAGTCTTGATCGACGTCGCAGATATGAGTATGTTCCTCTGAATGCTTGAAAGTTGTCGAATTATAAACGACAATCCTGCCTAATAGTCATCTTGCAGGTGGGATACATTAACAGGGGATCTGGAGTTGGTAGAATCTTTGGATGGTCACTGTGATGTTGTTTATGGGACACTTGATCTCAGAAAACTTTCCTGGTAAGTTGCAACTATTCGCATTCTTCCTCTTTAATGGTGCTGCGCAAGGGTTATAGTTTTGTGAATTGTGAAATACCATTTGTACTCTGATTGAAGAGCTATAGGAGACATCATGTTGGATGAAGTGGTTGACTAGTATTTCCCCTCTATACGTATTGGATATGGCTGCTTCTAAGAAGTAAGAAGCAGTAGTAAAAGCTAGTTGAGTCAATGAATCAGATGGGGTGCTGTGCGATTATGCTTTGGCTATAGGAATTTGTAAATGTAAGCTTAAAGTTCAAAAAATGTAACAGTAAGTGACAGAAAAAGAAGAGAAAAGAGAAAGAAGCAAATGAATTGGAAGAACAAGTAGAGAAAAGATTCCACGAGAGGAGTTGATGATTTAATGTGCTTATCCACTTGCCTTAAGTTTATTATAGTACTCATAATCACCAAGTTACAGTTAAACCCTCAGTGACAGAAAAATTGGATAAGATAATTAACAGATATTATAAAATTAATGGAGGGGGGATAAGGATACATCAAAGAAATGTTGGGGCTGTATCCAAGATTGAGGTGTTTAGAGATTTAGGGTGGTAAGATTCAAAGCATTCACCAGAAAATAAGAAGGGAATATGATATCCAAAGATAACTGCGGTCAGCAAGATGCTTGTTGAAGCATTATAACACTTTTATGTATGAGAAAGAAGAATGGAAAAGGAGGTTGAGAAGCAGAAGATAGCATTTGGATACGTAAGCAATGTAGAAACAGAATAGGAGAAATACTAGCAATGTGCACTTGAATTCAAAAGCTCGGAGATACTATTAAAAGCTAAGATTAAGGAGAACACAAACGAGTGAAGTAATAAAAGAAACAATATTGGTCATGAATCTACGTTGATACTATGGTGAATGTATTATTTTAGGTTCTGTACATGCAACAGAAAACCTTGTTTTCTTGTCCTCTTTGTATGTATAACTTGCTTTCTTGATTGGTGTGTAGTGTGATGTTATCATTTTTTCGACCCTTTTGATGTGGATGATTCTTCTCTTTATGTCTGGAGGTCTTTGCAATATGGGGCCCTTGAGTCTTCATCTTCTTTTAATGCATCACAGGTGCTCTTTTGCAGGTGGCAATCTAAGAGAGATTTTTTCTTTTCTCGGAGGTGGTTTCATGGTCAAGATGGAACATATAGTGAGGATCCTGAGCTTTCTCTCCACCGAGCTCTTCTGTATTATGTGCTACCGCAACTTTAATCACCGTCTATTAGAACTGCTGCTTAGTTTTTAACTGTGTCATTTGTTCTTTTTATGTAGAAAAGTTGTTGATGAACTTTGAAGTATGAGCTTACCTTGGCTGAACCTTTATTTCAGTCGAAAGACAACATGTGGCTCATATCTTCGAGCTCAAAACTTTTTGCCGTCTTAAATATCTAATCTTAATATTTTGGGAGAACTCATCAGCTTGTGACTCTAGTTTCTTTGTTTATTTGCTAGTTCTCTTTTTTCTTGAATAGGTGGAAAGAGTTCATCCTCCAATTTCTGGTTACTTGCTTTGAGCTAACTTAACTAATAAGCTCATTTTTTGCTGGTAAAAAGTAAGAATAATGTGCCTGAATCGGTGCATTTGCTTAAATTTGCTGACACCTCAGCATAAATGCAAGTCTTGTGTTCTTGTGCAAATTTTGTTGAAATTATAGTCATAGAGCTTCTGAAATATAATTGCAATTACATGTATGATTGATCTGATGAGTGTTCTGGCAGGATGTTCCACCGGAACTGGATAGTATTTTTGTCTTTGAGGTTCTTTCTCTTTGTTTTCTTCATGTCATATTATTTCGAAAGAAATAGACTAGGACAGAATTTATGTTTTCAGAATTCCAGCCATATCATGTGCTGTTCAGCTTGTTTGTTTCTATTATGCTTTCATTGACCGATATTTTTCTACATTTGGTGCAGCAATTTTGCATTTTCCAACTGAATACAAGAAGCGGCCTCCAAAAAGTGGATATCGACGTATAAAAATTAACCGTAAGAAACTCCATGTCAGTAAAGATCTAGTACTGGAAGATTAATCAAAAAAGGATGTGATACTGCTTCTAAAATTCATGAACCTTACTTTTTCTGTAATGGGTTTGTGTGTTTATTTATTCGGGCTGATCCTGGATGCATGATGCATGAGTAACATTATTCTTGCTACAGTTCTCAAGACATTGCTGATATCATGCATTTCTAGATTAAATTTTACATCACCTGCGCATTCTTAAGCGTTGCTGACTGTTCCTGACTAAACTATTTTTAATTGTAGCTTCTTCTTGGGAGATCAGCAATATAAGCACTTCCTCGTTAAATCCTGCGAGATGCCTTGTGACACTGATTCTGGAGATACATTCTAAGCACTGGTTTAAGTGGAAGAATAATGAGTTCTCTAAATTTGAGAGGACACTTCCTTTTGGAATGTTGAGTCAAGTGGCAGGTGGGTTGATTTGATTACCTATGTATTCTGGAAGCTCATGCCTTGTGTTAGAAAGCCTAATTTCACCATTCATTATATCTTTTTAGCTTTCGAAATTATCTTCCGCGCTACCCATGCAACAGAAAATTTAAAAAAAAAAAAGAAGAAGAAGAGAAAAACATAACCTTTATCTGGTGTCTTAGGTGATTCAAAGAGCATATTCTTCTTGACATTGATGATGCCTGTTTTCTTCTGTTTCCTATATCTGCTTTTGTGTTGAACAAAGATTGAGTTGTTTCTGGTTTTGCTCTTATTATGTAATTGAAGTTTATATCGTCTGCTGAACTCTACCTCTTCATATTTCTTTCTGTCTCCGTGTTTTTCACCAGTTTTCCTTTCTTAAGCAATGGAAAATTAATTCTCTTTTTACCTTCCACATCTGCTTAACAAGCTTTTTTTCAATTCAATGTATAGTTTCTCCTTTCCTATATCTGAGAGCTGTCTATGTTTTTCCTTCCTTGTGTATCATTTGCCTGAATGACTCAACTGCTTAAATCATTCTCTCTACCTCTGGTCTGCCCTTAAGTTTTTAACTAAAGAAAGATTAGAAGACCAATATACATATACAAGAGTGACATTTGTGAATAGAGGTTCAAGAGTAGAACTGAAATGCTTTGCATTTCCGTTGTAATTTGATAGTAATAGTAAACCAAAAGTCCCTTTTGTCTCTTGTTCCCTTTAACACAGTATTCTGATTTGCTTGCAAATATCTCGAAGGATGCGAGGGGCAGTTTAGTCACTCTCTACTTCCTCCATGCACTAAACACTTATTTTGTGTTTCCTTCAATTTTACACCTTAGCCTGCATTCATCATCTTCATATATTTCCAGGAAGATATTCCTCCACTAATGTCACCATTATCATGCAACGTTCTTATTTTTAATTATTTGTGTAGGTCTGAAGGAATATATTGGAGCAAATCCAGCACTTACATTTGAATCATCCACAGTAGTTCTTCATTCAAAAACATCTAGTGTTTCTACAACAAGCAATGAGCTTGAGGATACAGTGGGGTCAGATGAATTCTATGATGCAATAGGTGACGAGTCCTCATCATCAGATGAAGATAGCGATGATGAAGTAACCAGTAAGAAGGTTTGTCATTTTTCGTGTTCCTCCATCAAAAGCAGTGGATTATTTCCAGAGACTGCTTGCTTGAATTACCTTGCCTTTGAATCCTTTATTTACCTATTTGACAGGACAAAAAAGTCAAGCTAAAAAACGTTTCATGGGCCATAGCAAGCTTGGCTTTAAAGAGGACATCAGGTATTAAATGCCGTTCTTCTCATCCTGATTAGTTTCTTGTTTCTTTCTTCTTATTTTTTCTCCACCCCTACATATCGTATGTGCAAGCATCTATGTAGTCCTTCATCTTCATGATCAATTACTCTAAATACGGAGCAGATCGTGAATGGGTTACTTGAATGCTATTTCTGAAGAACTTTAGTCCTCATTTTCAAGGACCAATTAAAAATAAGCACGAATGATTTTTTTTTAACTCAAAAGAATCTCCATTAAAGGGGCCTCAACATTTGCGACAGATGTGCTCTCTGTGAAAAAGGAAGTGAAAATGTCAACCATCTGTTCTGCTGTAGTTTCACCTCCCAAATTTGGAATGTAATGTTCAGTGTCTTGGGCCTTAGTTGAGCAATTCCTAGAACAGTCAAGAAGCTCTCCTATGCCGGTACATGAAAGGTTTAGTAAAGACTTGAACCTTGGTTTGGAACACAATCCCTACGACATTATGGTGGTCCATCTGGAAGAGGAGAAATGGAAGATAATTTTGAAATGGAATTCGTGATTATTGTAAAGTTTAGATGTATCTCTCTTCTATCTTCTTGCTGCAACATGGCTGTAGTAACTGATGTAAATCATTTAGATGCCAATAAACTTTTTGAGCTCAGTACGCAATATGTGATTGAGGCATAGTTGTTGTATTACACAATATGTGATTACTGTAGCTATTCTCTTGCTGTAACACCATACTCTTATTTCTGGATATCAATAAAATTACCTTTACCTATCCAAAAAAAAACAGAAGCATTGGTTTTTTAGCCTAGATCCGAATGTTTAGTCTAGAAGTCTGCAAAAAATTCAAACACGCTGCATAAATCACTCTCTTCACTATGTACCATTTTTTCTGGAGCCGAGAGTGAGTGGTGTGGGGTCACTTTTACGAACATTCAGGTGTAGGGCATTTGTGTAGTCTTTAGATGATACTGCTGTTTATCTTTCGTTGTTTTAAAGTCTCTTAAACAACTTTATTAAAACATTCTGTTCAATGTCGCATGCAGCACCAGACATTAGTAAGGAACTAAATCCTGATGTACCTCCATTAACTCTTGATCCAAGTCAGTTTCACGGTACCATGCGGCTGGGGAAGAGTGAGAGCGACTCTGATTGCTGGTCGTCGCCAAGTGGTTCTGGGTTCATGATCAGAGGGAAGACATACTTGAAAGACAGTACAAAGGTAGCTTTTCATACTTGAAATGTTTATTTGGACTAAGTTTTCACTTGTAGTTGTCTAATGCTGGAGATGTACAAGTTTCAGAATTTTTTTCCAGCTCTCTAATTAATCACAAGAGTCACGTACTTAGCAGTGTTGAAGATAAAAGAAAAATGAAAAGGCCAAGGGTATTATTGGCTCATAAAGCATTGCACCTTTGAACAATTGGTTTTCTATTTGTTGTTCATAACCAAAGCAGAGGCATCTTTTAAACTCCTTGCTTACCTCATAGTTTAAGTCATGGTAGCTTACTTGCATAATTGATCACTGGTGTTAACATTTATTTGGCGCAAATAATTTCCATTGTTTCCATATAATGATAGTACTATAAAAAATTAAGCTCGATTGAATCATCGTAATTGCAATGTTTCCAAGGTCACTGGTGGAGATCCACTGCTCAAGCTTATCGCAGTTGACTGGTTCAAGGTGGATGAGTGCATCACAAATGTTGCTCTGCATTCTAAGTGTCTTGTTCAGGTAAAGAAATTCACTTATTACCTGACTGCATTTTGCTTATCCTCTAGATAAATTCAATTTGTTAGTCAAATTAATAAAGTAATAAAAGATAATGTGCTTCAAATTAATGTCCAGACACTGAAATTTTTATTTATTTGAATTTGTCTAAATCTTGCTGGAAGGATATGCTACAACAACAACGACGCCTCAGTCTCAAACAAGTTGGGTCAGCTATATGATTCCTCACTGACCATGTTTCTCCATAAAAATTCATCTCAGACTAGCAATATACAATATAAAGATAAATATAAAACGTACTAGAAGTTCTCTATATTTTCTACTGGCACAAAGGACATGTTGTTGCTAATTATCTCCTACAGATTACGCTCAGATACCTGACTTTTTGAGGCAAATACTGCCTGTAGACTTACTTGTAGTCACCTTTTATCTCTTTGAAGTCACTGCGAACTTTGTTGAATGATGGAAAACTTTGTAAAGTTTTACATATTTACTTGAAAGGAAAAGAAATGGAAAATACATGAAAAGAATAAGGCCAGATAGTTCATCCTTTGCCTTTGTATATAGTTCATTTTAGCTTTTGACTAGTCATAGTGGCTTCTTTGCTGCCCATATTACCTTTGAGTTACGAAGGGGGGGCCTTGGAGCAACGGTAAAGTTGTCTCTGTGTGACCTATAGGTCACGGGTTCGAGCCGTGGGATCAACCACTGGTGCTTGCATCAGGATAGGCCGCTTACATCACACCCTCTTTGGGTACGGCCCTTCCCCTAAATGCTGGATGCTTCGTGCACGGGGCCTGCTCTTTTTTATTACCTTTGAGTTACCAGTGGTGTTCTTTATCCTTCCGTCCGGTTTTCTCCTTCCAAACTTCTCCCTAATATTATGATCAATGTTATATTTGTGTCATGATATTTTTTAAACCATCCACTTTTATGTCTTTTACAAAAAATTTAAGAGGTAAAGTTAGACGTTTCCGTTCATCAAGTTAGTGTCAACCCCTATATGAAGTATTGACAATAGTTGCAAGGTCTTAGAGGATGCAAAAGCAGTGGGAAACTGAAAAAAAGGGGGACAACAAAGATCTCTATCTGCTATTTCACATTATAGTCATATATATCAGTTTGTCTCTTGAGCATCGTAAACACTGTAACTTGCTAGTGTAATTCAATCCTCTTTATAAGGTGATCGTGGTAGGATTTAAAGAGCTTCCTTGAGTTCAACCACTAAAACAATGTTCTTAACTGAGCAATGTTCCAGTATTGATGGCTAGCTTTTGCACTGATCGATGTAGTGTTTAAAGAGCTTCATTGAATTCAACCAGTAAACAATGTTCTTAACTGAGAAATGTTCGGGCATTGATGGCTAACTTTTGCACTGAGCATATTTCTCTTTTCGATCTTATTTCATGATTCTATTTAGCTGCTAAGCATATCCGTTGCTCACAGTGTTTTCTTAACTTCAGTCTGAAGCAGGGAAAAAACTTCCATTTGTCCTCATAATTAACCTCATGGTACGTCTTTTTGGCTTTTCCCTTGTTAATTTTTAATAGACCACGGTATACCAAGCACTTTCTAAATTTATTCTTAAGATTCTGTTTCATTAAGTGTTTCATATGACTTCTCTCATTTCAGCTGTTTCACAAATAACTTGAAAATTACAAAAGCAGTTTTAAAAGGAAAGGACAGAATTTGGGTCGTTAACCAGAAAATGCAATCTTGTTAAATAAAAGTTAATTGTAAGAAATGTCAGTAATTGTTCTGGCTTGGTTTTCAGGTTCCGGCTAAACCAAATTACAGCCTGGTTCTTTATTATGCTGCTGACAGACCTGTAAAAAAGAATTCATTGTTGGGTAAATTCATTGATGGAACTGACTCATTCCGTGATTCAAGATTCAAACTGATTCCAAGCATTATTGAGGTATCACTTACTTGTCAGGAGCAGACTTCTTTCTTTATGACTTTTTGCTAATTGTTTCGGATAACAGGGATACTGGATGGTTAAACGTGCCGTGGGAACTAAAGCTTGCCTATTGGGAAAGGCAGTAACTTGCAAATACCTTAGACAAGATAACTTTCTGGAGGTTAAGTTCCAAGTTCATTTTCTTGACTTAGATATAACTTGTCAAATAAAGTTTCTTTGATATAGATATTACAGGAAAAAAAAGAAAATATTTCTCTTGCGCCCGGTCTTTTTTGGCTTGCACGGCTTTGCTTAAATAGTGAGCTCAAGTGGCTTTCTTCAATACATATGCTTCTTCACTGATTTAATTCTCAAATGGAACTTCATGCATGCAGATTGATGTGGACATCGGTTCATCATCTGTGGCAAGAGGTGTTATTGGTCTTGTACTGGGATATGTGACAAGCCTTGTCGTTGATCTTGCTATTTTAATAGAGGTATGTCATTCTTCTTCTTTAGATTATGGTCCATCTGATCAGTTCTTACTGAAGAAGGAACTTGGCTCGATAGGAGTAAAACCATCTAATCTTCAAGTAGTTCAGAATGAACCACCAAAGGTAAGTACCCCTCCATCATTAACTAGAGGTCTCGGGTTCGAGCCAGGGGAAGCTATACTATCCTAAGGGTGGTCAATTCACATTGTGTATATAGGTTAAATATTAGGTTTTAGATGTATATAACATATATTGAACACCCTTTGTTGGAGAACTTTTTTCACTTCTTTCAAGTTTGAACACCCTTGGGGAAATTCCTGGCTTCGCCACTGGACTTCGAGTCCTATAGTGGAGTCGCCTTTGGTAGGAGGTGCTTTGTCCCCCAAAATGAATTTTCCAGCGCGTATCCGATTAGTCGGGCTCCAGAGGGGGCACTAAAAACTGGGTGGGAAACCAAAAAAAGAAAGTTTAGAATGACAACTTTATGAAATGATATACCATTTCGCATGTTGTTTCTAGCACTTATGTGTAGCTTGATTAATGCTCCCTCCCTCCCTCACTTTCTCTCTCTCGACATAGTGATTTTGTTGTTTCCTTCTCCTAGAGGCATACCAATGCAATAGGTAGAGGGGTCACCGGCACCCGTATAGTTCGGTAAAAATCTCATGTATTGTATATGTCTTTAGGAAATAGTGATATATTAATAGTGGGCACCCTATACACAGAGTAAATTTTAGTTGAATCAGAAAGTGCACCCGCGACCTTCAAATCTTGGGTTCGCCTCTACCCTCTCCCCCCTTTGAAGTTTTAAAATACTTTTTTTTTGGTGGGAGTTAGGAGTAGCCCTAACCTGTATATAAATCAAATAACAGAAGTACATGGAGGAGGACATAAACCATAGCCTCCAGAGTATGATGAACAGTGCTGCTAGGCATTCCTATGCAAAAATGCAAAAGAGTTGTAGCTAAGATATGGGAGGACTCCTCCATTACACTATTTGAAGAGTCAACTATAAAGCACAAAGCAAAACAGTTGAAGTGTATAACATATATAAGATCCTTCATCTCAGCCATTACCAACAGAGAATAGATTTTTCTTTTGCCTAAATCTGAAATTTGGGAAGCCATCCTGTTCTTGCTTCAAGTAAGCTCTAACTTGCCTTGGCAAAGAAAGATCTTCAGTGAAGACAATCTGGTTCCTGACTTTCTCACCCAAACTTGCCATTTGGTCTGCAATCACATTTCCTTCCCTGAATACATGAACAAAAAGGAAGGATCCCTTCTTTATCAACTCTCCTATTTGTGCCATGATGCTATGAATTTGCCATGGAGGTCTGACTTTCTTATTGATTATATTAACCAACATAAGAGAATCAGATTCAACAATAGTCTTAAGAAAACCTCTATCAATACAGATACACAATCCTTGAAGAATTGCCATAGCTTCAGCCACATTGTTACTACAAAGACCAAAGTAATCAGCAAATGCTAAAATCATGAGGCCACGATGATCCCTTATTATGCCACCTAAAACACGATAATCGTAGATTACCTAATAATGCTAGAGATGGGTCGTGAATCAACTCAATCATTCGCTATCAAGCCAAATAATTGAACAAATGGTAAAAAGAAAAGTGAAATATTCTGAAGCTGCTATGTTAAGTGAATGCATGTGTAGGACACAACAACAAAAACATACCCAGCAATATCCCACGCCGTGAGGTCTGGGAGGGTAGTGTGTACGCAGACCTTACCCCTACCTTGTGAGGATAGAGAGGTTGTTTCCAATAGACCCTCGGCTTAGAAAAGTATAAGCACCACATTAATGAAAATAGACAAAAAGGGACAGTACCAAGAAGCCATATAAAAGCAGAATAAAAACAACCAGATAGTAAAGTGATCAACAATAAAAGAAACAACGGTTAGTCATAAAACCTACTACCAACAGAAAGCGAGATTGCGTGCCAATACTACTGTTATGAACACTCTAGACTACCTACTCTACTACCCTAATCCTCGACCTCCATACCTTCCTATCAATGGTCATGTCCGGTCAACTGAAGTTGATCCATGTCTTGCCTAATCACCTCTCCCCACCTCTTCTTTGGCCTACCTCTACCTCTCCGTAGGCCCTCCAATATCAACCTTTCACACCTCCTTACCGGGGCGTCTGTGCTCCTCCTCCTCACATGACCAAACCACCTAAGTCGCGCTTCCCGCATCTTGTCCTCAATAGGGGCCACACCCACCTTGTCGCGAATAACCTCATTTCCGATCCTATCTAATCTGGTGTGCCCGCACATCCATGTCAACATTCTCATCTCTGCTACCTTCATCTTCTAGACATGAGCGATCATGACTGGCCAACACTCAGCCCCATACAACATCCTGGTTTTACATCCGTAAATAGTACAGTTGCATTAGTTATTCTCTAACAATTCATGTCACTTGCACATGACCATGTTATACACACATTTGCAGGCAAAAGAAGAGGCTGAGCTCCCTGAATACATTCTTGGAACTGTCAGATTAAACCGGGTGAAGGTCGATTCTGCTGTACCATTGGAGGGCTGAGGATTTTTTCGTTAGTCAGGATTATTAATCCCCTTGAAATTGAATATAGTGGAATCATTACTATTAATTTGTGTACTAAAACTGATATCCTAACTCATTTGGAATTGAGGCGCAGTTGTCAAAAATGATATACCAAGAACAGCGCAAAATCGCATGTTGTACGGAGAAAACCTGATTCTTGAAACAAAAGTTGTAACTAAGATGAATGATGTGAATGCTCAAAATCCCTATACTTTTCAAGACAAATATAGTGATTGTCACGCATTTATGTGAAGTATTAAACATCAAGAATAATTGGGCAAAGATCATTTTTAGCCCGCGGCTGAAACTATTTACATCAAGCAGCTGCAAAAGTGTATAAAATTTGTATATTTTTTGTATCTAACATACATAAATGTATATATACAAAAAAAAAATATTTTCGGCTATTATTTTGTGAGCGGTTATACAATGTCATTTTCCCAGAATAATTTGTCTCACCCCATAATGCAACCTAACTCCACTTATATGAGCTTGGTAAAATATAATGTTTACTTCAGACAAAGGAGGAAAGTTATAGTAAGTAAATAATCGCGTAGTTTAATCTATTAAATAACAAAGAATTCCTATATCGATCCTAATTAGTTTAAGATTGAGGCATAGCCGATAATGATCTAAGCTCACTTAAGTAGCTCAAATCCAGGTTAGTCTCTTGTATAAACAATTAAGATCAACATTTTAGATGCAAATTTAGAATTATGTCATGTTTTTTTAAGTTAATTTATATTGTCAAAAAATTGATGTGTTCCTCCATTATATTAGCAAACATGTCACATATTATGTGATTGAGTGATCCAAAAGATTTGGTATATGTCTCCTTTAATTTATCATTCCCCACTTGAAATTGTGTGGTCAAAAGAGTTGGTGAAAAGAGGAGTTTACAAAACCTATAAAGAAGAAAAAAGAAATGGAATAATTTACCTTTTCTATTTGCTGCTAACATCACTTTATTCATTTTTAAACCTAATGCTTAATATTATACCTACTTTTTATTTGCTTAAATAACCCTTTTATCTAATAATTAATTTTGAAAAGCGAGAAATCTCCAAAGGTCACCTTATTGGAGGTTTTGATTTGAAAAAATGTATTGCGGGTTCATCTCTCAACTAGTTCAGGTTCAAGGGAGAGCGATTGAGGGTACGACGGCCCTTCCACTCGCACCATTGGATCACTAAGGCCAACTTCCATTTCTGCTTATGGATTTCTATTAAGGGCAAGAGTGAGACTTGCAATATTGAAAATTCGGTGAATAACGGATTCGCCTATTTACTTTTCTTAACATAAATATTACTAAGTTTTTAATTTTATTTTTGATAGGGTATGAACTCGTGATATGCGCTTGACCAACAAATTACATGTTGCGCTCTTTCCACTGAATCAAAACCTTAAAGCCAAACATATTTCCCCTTTAATTTTTTTAATTTTTTATGATTGAATGTATTTTTTTAACTTTTTGGATGGTGGGTTGTGTTTGGCCACACATACGTTTGTTTCTGTACCCACTAATTTTGACAAAATCACAGATTTTAGTGCCGATCTTTACCCCACCAATTTCTCCATTTAAATTGAATGGCCACTCTCAATACTAAAAACTTTTCTTTCAATTTCATTTTCTTTTCTCGAAAGTTTAAAAGGAACTGAATGTTAACGGCATTGCTTTTGAGTCGAGCTCTAAGTTTAGTACTATTTTTTTTTTATTTTGTTTAAACAAGGAAACTCAAAGTCGCTATTCTTCGGATGCACATCGGGTAAACCCTGCTCCTATGTAATAACCCACAAAGGCGTAAACCACGCAGAAGAATAAATTACACTAGGGAAGCCTCATGCGACATGCTCGACCGAAGAAGTATGCAAATAGGTTTCGACCCCTAATTGAGCTCCAAGCTGCTACATTGTCTAATAGTACATAATTTTTACATTTAAAAAATTTAATATTTAAAATTAAAATTTTGGCTCCGCCTCTGCATTTAATGGCTGTTTTCATGGGAATCGAATTTAGTTACTTTACTTTCCCTTTTTGTTCCTAAAAAGAAGTGTACTTATCCAACTACAAATCCACGCGGAGGAGATGAAATCCCATTATCTTTTTCATTCTAATTTGTATAGGGAAACTCATTTTGTAGAATTCTTGTCCCCCTTTTAACCCTATGACTCTTGCTTTTCAGTTTTGGTTATTAATGCAAATTGTACTATTTCTAGTTAAACAAGTCTTCTTAGCACAGATGATTTTGGTGGAAATAGCACCGGCTAGCCAGTTTTTGGAATGGTCTATTAAAAATAGTCAGCGTTGCAAAGTCATTGAAAAATAGCTACTATTTTGCTGTAACACGGAAAGTTCCAGCATAATATACTGGAGATCGGTGCATCTCTGTATGAACTTCCAGCATATTATGCTGGAACTCCAACAGGCGGAAAGTTTCAGTATAATATACTGGAGAATGGAGCACTGGTGCTCCAATCTCCAGTATATTATATTGCACCGGTATATTATACTGGAACCCAGTATATTATACTGGAGTATTTTTCGGATATTGAACAGTGTTTTCGTTTAGATTTATCTTTACATGAAAAGTGGCTAAATTTCGATTATTTTTGAAACTGTAATTATTTTTGAATGACCACTTGTAAATCTGGTTATTTTTAAATTTCTCCCATGATTTTGAAATTTATGTGACATGTTTACACTTTAGTTAGCTTCTTTCAAAAACTTAAAACTGCCATTTTTTGTGCTGTGAATATACAAAAAAAATTGGGTTTCTCATTCGTTATCCAAAATATAGTATTCGTGTTAGCATCCGACTTTTAATTCGTACAACGTAAGGTTCATTAAAGAAGAAAGCACTTTTTCTCATGATTTTTTTTATTTTCACGACTCGTATCAAAGAGTCCTTGCACGTTCACTAATTGATCAAATTAACTCAAACTCACAAACTGCATCATTTTTATGTGTTGAATTATTTACCCATGGAAGCGAATAAGGTTGCAGATGCTCTGGTTCTTTTTGAAAAATCAAAATCTATAAATGGCTTAAGAACGAAAAATTAATTTTGGGATCTTCTACCTTTATATGCTTTGTTTATAAAGGTGGAAGATCCCAAAATAATTTATCGTTCTTAGCAGGAATGAAGCTAAGAGGATGTTGAGATGGATGAGTGGGTATACCAGGAGAGATAAGATTAGGAATGAAGCTATTCGAGATAAAATGGGAGTGGCCTCCGTGGAGGACAATGCAGGAGTCGAGGCTGAGATGGTTCGGGCATGTAAAGAGGAGAAGCATTGATGCTCCTGTCAGGAGGTGTGAGAGGCTGACCATGGCGGGTTTGAGAAGAGATCGAGGTACTGGGGATAGGTGATTAGACATGACATGGCGCGGCTTCAGCTTACTAAGGACATGACCCTTGATAGGAAGGTATGGAGGTCGAGAATTACGGTAGAAGGGTAGTAGGTAGTTGTAAGTTTCTCCTTTTCCTACCAGTTTCTTTCGCAGCACTCAGGTTACTGTATATGCTTAAGTAGAATGTGATTTAGTTCGCCTCTGCTATCGCCTCACGTTATTCCTCTTCTCACTCTTTCTAAGCCGAAGGTCTAGTGGAAACAATCTCTCTATCTCACTAGGTATGGGTAAGGTCTGCGTACGCACTACCCTGCCACTTGTAGGAATATACTGGATTTGTTGTTGTTGTTCTTGTTGTTGTTGTTGCTACCTCTATATGCTTTGTTTACTTTCTGAACTGATTTAGAAATGAATTATCTGCAGATTACCAACCAATAATTTTAGGAGAACTTATTAACCAACTTTGCAATGTCTCGTTTAGCTTCTTTTTTTTTTCCCATCAATAATCATAATAATAAGATTATGTTAGACATCTTTTAAAATGTTCTATTTCATTTCTTGATCATTTTCTGAAATACCGACTTGTCACCAAAAAAAAAAACAAAAACGTATACGAAATTTACTACTGTAAACTAACTTTTATATGTAAAGAAGCACTGACTAATGATTTTATTTGATTTAGAAAATATGAAACCAAAGAACAAGTTGCACTTTATGATAAATCCAATTAGAAAGTACTTAACGTAAACTAGCCGTCAAATCACTACGCATTAATTTGTGGGACACGTAGCTAGCGTTTGGCTATAGATTCCCAAATTTGTTTTGAAAAATCTGATTTGGATGAAGTTTGGTTTGAAGATGAGATGTGTTTGGACATCAGTTTTCAAAACATATTTCAATTTTTTTTTATAGAAAAAACATGAAACATAACTTATACCCACAAGTTGTAAAAACTATCACAAATACCCAACAGTACCTTCATCAATAACATTCATTATCATTATCATAAATCATAGTCTTGAACATAAATAAATTTGGTACAAAATTATCATTTTTATAATGAACTACATAATATATTATCAGATGACCGAGAAGACGAAGCATTATTGTTACAAAATAATAAATAGTGGTTTTTGTTTATAAAATACAAAAGTTTGGGGCAAATTTTAAAAAATGTAATAGTAATATTTGGGCCTTGTTTTGGGATTTGGGTTTTGGGTTTTGGAATTTGCCAAAATATGAATAAAATTTATGAACAAACATATATTTATTAAAAAAAAATTGGCAAAAAATTGCGAAATTTATGACCAACGGTCCTTAATTGCTCATTGTGAGTCTCATAAAGTTTAGCAGTACCTGATTAGCTAGATAACCTATAATTACCGCATTGAAAAAAGATTAAAAAAAAAATTCTAAAGTTCCATAAATTATCTATTAGGAAACGAGTGACTCTTTTGAAAAACTGAGGGCGTTCGAATATTACAGCCGTTGGGATTCTACAAATACTCGGAGTTATTACTCCTTCCCTTTACTTTTAATTGTTTAATTTTAACTTTACAATCCCTTTAAGAAAAAGTAAATGAAGTAGGCATTTTATATTTTATCCATAATAATAATAGCATTTCAAAAAGTCTTGGAAAATAATTTGAAGAATTAGTAGTTAATGATAAGGATACAACATGAAATAAATATTGTCTTTCTCTTGATTTACTAAAATGAACAAGTAAAAATAAAAATATATTTTTAATATAGTGGACAAATAAAAATGAACAAAAAAAATAATAATTAACATGCATTATTCAAGAATTAGTTTTGAAAATATTTTATTTGGTGCGACAACATAAAAAAATGACAGTTTGTTATTATAATAATTTATGTATTTGTTACTTCTTTAAATGTTA